GTGGGTGTGGGTGTGGGTGTGGGTGTGAGTCATGATAAAAAGAAAAGTTACACGCACACCGAACACCAACATCTACTCCCGTAGTCACATCCTAACCCACACCCACACCCACACCCTCACCCACACCCACATACACACCCACACCCACACCCACATCCACACCCACACCCACACCCACACCCACACCCACACCCACACCCTCCGGCCAGACTGCTCAACCCCATATATATTCTTTAACCCGTTAACTATTATTCACGTATATATACGTCAATAACAGTTAATGGGTAAGCGAAACTTCTAATTGTGAAATCATTGTTGTAGAATTAAGTTTTCTGCGATTTGTTATTATAATATGACTCCTATGTCATCTACAGACAATTATAAAACATATCTGTTCGCAAAATTTTAGCTCATTCGTGAACGTTTTTAAAATTCTAAAAGTTATTTTTCTAAACGTTTGTTGTTAAGTTTAAAAAATTAACAGTTAACGGATTAAAATTCATTGTGATCTTGTCAGTCAAGAATATTAATATTCAGTTTGTTTAATATTCTTTATAACTTTGTAAATTTTACTTTTTCTTTTACATCAAGTGCATTCACATCTAGTAATAATTGACCAACATAATTTTCATCATGTACATCAGATTCAAGTTGTCGTTCAATTTCTTCATCCATTTCAGCATCATCAGCTATCATCGTATTTGAATCCTAATTAAAAACAAAGAAAAAAGAATCGAACCATTTTGTCTTAGCATTAACTAGTTACTTCAAGTTTTTTTTAAGAGTACAGCGACACCAATATTGACAAGTACAAATTGAGTCATAAGAATGAAAACAAGTAAATAAATGAAATTATTGTCATAAAGTAATTTTTGCCACCACGAGGTGAATCATCTTGACGTAAAGTGTCCTTTAAAACAATATTTATGATTGAAAAAAAAGGAACTAATCGTTTTTTTTTCAATCACTTACTTTCATAATACCATTCCAATTATCACCTGTTGCTATACGAAATAATGTAAGAAGAGCTATGCCAGAATTTTTAAAATGTGCATGTTTATTGAGACCACTACATGGTTGTTCTTCGCTACATTCTGATTTTCCAAATAATTCAACACCAAGTATAGTAAAGATAAAGAAAAAAAGAAAAAATAGAAGACCCTAATTTCAAAGAATAAGACTAAATAAAATAAATAATTCAATTCACCAAATTTCCAACTTGTGGAAGAGCTTGCATAACAGTATCTAATAGAGCTTGAATACCTTTGGCCATTTTCAGTAGTTTGAGTACTGAAGTACAAAAAGAAAAAAAAAGAAAATCTTTTATTCGGTTTATTCTGTGTTATTTACCTCATGCGATTCTCAATGCTCTGACCTCAGGAATAAGTGTAGGATTTATTGGAAGAATATGTCTACTTAACATTTTTTTTTATTACAATACCAGCTACTGATAAAAGTACAACAAATGAATCCAACTGATTCCATCTTAAAACAAAAATCAAATAAACAAATTAAAAAAAATCTCAAATTAATTCTTTCCTTACTCTTATCTTTAAAATAACGTGATGATCCAAGTGCAACAATTTTCCATATAAATTCAAGTAAGAATACAAACGTAAATACATAATTACAATATTCAAGCAATTTATCCAAGTCCTAAAAATAAAATGTTTTGACAATATAAAAAATTAATGAATCATTGTTGTTTTTTCGTTACAAATGGTGTAGGATAAAATTCAAGTGACATTGTAATAACATTAAAACCAATAATAACAGCAATAATTAAAACAAAATATTTACTAATGCATAGATCATGTAAATGTTTACGCCATGGTGAAAAATGTGCATAATATGGCAATTCATGCATAAGACGTTGTTTACGTTCAAGTTTTTTTTGCATATTTTGCTTTATTTCGAGCTCCTTCTTCGAGTTCTTGTTGAGCTCGACAATTATGAAAATTTTCAACAACAATACCAACAAACATATTAAGAACGAAAAAACTGACAATTAAAATAAATGATATAAAATAAATTGATTTTGCTTCACTATAATTCTTTATTGGTTGCATTTCAACATCAACTGCATCAATACCGTTATACATTATTTGTATCCAACCATCTTTTAATGCAAGAACAAATAGTGTTAGTAGAGCCTAAATAAAAGTAAGCATTTTTTTTTAAATTATCTTAATAACAAAAGTATATTCGATAACATAGTTGACCTAAATTATCAAAATTGTGTTGTTGATTGTGCCATGGATGATCGGACATAGTTTCACATTGTTGTCTTGTTGTTACATTATGAGCGAAAGGACCTTCACAATAGTAGAATTTATCTTTGAAAAGCTGGAAAAGAATTTAAAAGTAAATAATGTGATCGAAGAATTGTGAAAAGGCATGAAAAAAAAATGTTGCTTCATTTCGTCAAAAATCAAAGATTTCTGATATCAAATTGGAGAAATGCGGAGAAACAAATTGTCATGGAAGGTCGGACACATATGGGAGTTAACCGTGGAAATGGAATAG